TTTATTTACTTCTCTGTATATATTAAAAATAATTTCATTATTTCAATAATTTCAATAATTTTAATTATATTATATAATGATTATATTTTATCATAATGTTAAAAATTTTTTTTAATATTTTTTTCTATTCTTCCTTGTTGCCTTCTTTGTTCTTAAAATTTAATTTTATTATACCGATTAAAAGCTATGTTAACTTTTTCAAAATTTCAAAAAATTATATTGCAAAAAATTATATCAAGATTCCAGTTGATAGAAATTTTAATGCTCATTTTATTAAATTGATCATATCTGTTTTGAAAAATTTTGTATAACTTTGCATAAAAATTGAATTTCTCTAGAAATATCATTTTCGTGTTCAGCCATTCGTAATTATATTTGATTTTAGTAATACAAAAATTTTTTCCAGCACATTAAACCAGCATTTTCAGTATATAAAGTATATAAAATATACTTTTTAAATCTTTTTTGATACAAATATTTTTGACACATACATGCATAAATATCGTGCGAATGATTAGTAATAATTTTGTATTGTTTGTTGAGCAATAATAATATGTTAGATACAATTCTTATTATAATTTATAATAATATAAAGTAATTGTTAAATTATATGGCACAAATCTTGTATTACAAATCTAATTTTTCGAATTTTATCTACATTATTATATATGTATTTAATAATAAAACACAAAAGATTTCATAATCGATATTGATTTCAACTAAAAAATTCTGCTATATTTTGTTCGAATTATTTTTTAAAATTATATTCTTTAGAAAAGTTTTAGAATTGATATATCTTATTATATTTATTACATTGCATTCTTTTTTTCTGGCCGCGGTCCGATTCATGATCAAAGCATTTTTGACGTTCTATCTTTATCGTTCATTAGATATAAAACAAGGATAGAATGACGCCAATAGTGCTTTCAGCGTGAATCGAACCGCGGCCTCTGTTATCTAGATAATAAAAACTTTAAAATTACATAAATATTGGATTATAACAAAAGTAACAAAAAGTAAGTTTGTTTAGATATCATTAAACGCGTAAAAGTTATATGGCTTAATCATCTGATATACATATACACATACGCACGCACGCGCACGCGCCCCGCCACCACACATACATCACACACACGCACGCGCGCGCGCGCACTAGACACATTCCGCCGCGAACAGTTTAACGCATTTTGTATACGCAAGCCTAATCGAATTCAATCCCATTTATTTTATATCCGTCTGAAAATAGAAGGAAATAAAGTGCATTTTCGACATCTTATGCTATTTTACTTTTGGAAAAATGAAAACGCAATACAGCGAGACAGTGATTTTATGAAAATGCTGTAGGCGTGATGACTGAAAGTACTGTTCGCAAGTGATTCGATTCAAAAATGGTGATTTTAACCTCAAAGATCAGAAATGCTCAGGTAAGTCTTCAATTGTTGATGATGATCAAATTCAACAAGTCGATTGAAAGTAATCCATTGAGTACGACATTGAGATATGCCACATATCTCATATGAACACAATGTAATAATTGTCTTGGAATTTTACTAAAAAAATAATACGACCCAATAATTTATTACAGTCCAATAATTTGTTAAATTAAAATTTTTTAGCAACTATATTTTGTATTCTTTAATCACTTTTAAGCACTTTCAGTATGTTTCCATCTTCTCTTTTAAATTCTTGATACTTCTAACACAAAGGTCATAAACCATTCACAACTACACACAAATATATGCGCGAGTGCACTATTTTCTTTCATTTGTAACGGTATACTATGAATTTGCGACATATATCATATTTACTGATACAATTGGTTTTTCAATGCGCACTTTCGTAGACGTATATTTTCGAACGAAAGACACAAAAAGGCGATCGCACCAAGACTGGTCGTGTATCGGGAGAAAGCTACAATTCGCGAGCGAGTGATTCTACAAGAACTCAGAGCTCAGTACCGTCGCAAGTTACTAACTTTTTAAGAGCCAAATAACAACAGAAATTAATAAAACAAAATAAATAAATGTAATTAAAGAATCGAACAAAAGGCAAGAAAGAAAACAGATTTCAAATTTATATAATTTCATTGTAAGTGTTACTTTACGATCATTATAATATATATATATAT